AAATGGATAAAGCTGGGAATAGTGGCAAACATTTCCAGAAGTGGTTGACCAGCTGCAATTACACTAAGAGCGTGATGACGATTCATCTAGGAGATTGCAAAGGAACCTAAAACGACACTCATCGAACTCTAGACCTCGCTGGCCTCAGTTCAGGTCAGTGTTCACGACTCTACCATAAGAAAGACACAGGCCAAAAATGGCATCCAGAGGAAGAGTTCCCAGAGTGAAAAACACTACTGTGCAAAAAGAACACAAAGGCTTGTCTCACATTTGCCAAACAACATGTTGATGATCCTCAAGACTTTTGGAAAAACATTCTGTGGACTGATGAGTCAAAAATTGAACTTTGTGGAAGCTGTGCGGCGTGTTACGTCTGGAGTAAAAATTGGAAACATTGGATAAAAGGAACATTATACCAACAGTGAACCCTGGTGGTGGCAGTATGATGGTCTGTGGCTGCTTTGCTTTCTCGGGACCAGGAACAACTTGTTGTGATTGATGGGACAATGAATTCTGCTGTTGACCACAATATCCTGAAGGAGAACATCCGACAATCAGTTTGCACCCTCAAACTCAAGCGCTCTTGGATCATGCAGCAGGACAACGATCCCAAAAAAAGACCTGCAAGTCCATCTCTGAAGGGCTCAAATAAAACAAAATTAAGGCTTTGGAGTGGCCGAGTCAAAGTTCAGATTTGAATCCAATCGAGCTGCTGTGGTGTGACCTTAAACAGGCAGTTCGTGCCAGAAAGCCCACCAATATGGCAGAGTTGAAGCAATTCTGCAAAGAAGAGTGGGTGAAATTTCCTCCACAGTGATGTGAAAGACTCATCACCAATTATCGCAGATGCTTGATTTAAGTTATTGCTGCCAAAGGTGCCACAACCCGTTATTAGGTTTAGGGGGAAACTACTTTTTCACAGAGGGTCAGAAAGGTTTTTTTTTTTAATTGGATTTTTTATTTTTTTAGTCTAAATAAAATGGCATTTAGAAACTGTATTTTGTATTTTCTTGGGTTGTCTCTGTGTGACATAAACATTGGTTTGAACAACTGAAATCTTTGTGTGTGATAAATATGCAAAGAACACAGAAATCAGGAAGGGGGCAAATACTATTTCACGGCTCCTTAAGGCAGAAAAAGCAGGAACAGCAGCAACCTGAAAAAATGTTAACCAGAGAGCATTAATGACAATGACTGATGCAACAGATTTGGAGAAGCAAGATATTCCCAATTCGGTGCCTTTTAAGATAATTGATTGATGATTTTGGTTCCAAGAATGGTTTGCTACCAAAGTGTTGTCCCTTTTTTTCCATGTGCCTAGTTGTCAATATGAGTATTGTATGTACATTAATTTTTACTTTTGCACTTGAGTGCATTTCAGAGTCTGTTCTTTTTATCTTACACAATGTATTTAAATAAATGACTCAAATCCCTACTTCAACTATTACCAGATACTTTTTAATGCAATTTATACAGAGTGTACTGTTTTTGAACTACTGTATGTGGAACACTTCTTGAGTCCTCTTAAGGAAAAGTATTAAAACAAAAAGTAGAAAGAACATTAGCACTTTATTAAACATTGTGAGTATTTTAACCCCCCATTGACAATAATGTAATATGCCATGGGAATGCGTCATTTCTGGCGAAGGGTGTATTGTGCAAAATTACTTCCTCGTCCAATTATTCTCCACTCAAAGTGCAGGTGGAGGAAATTCCACCACTTAGAGTGGCAAGTAACAAGTTCTACAGTACTTCCTGGACTACTGCATCATTATTTTGGCATCAGCTTTGTCGCTTTGGATCAATACATCAAATCAGACGTCGTTTAACAGTAATAAACAAAAGACAGCGAGAGCACGTGGGTGGAGGCTCAACGTGCTAAAAAATCCTCCACAGTGAGTACAACTCCCGCAAATAGCCCGAGACAAACTACAGTATAAGGATATTAGTCAAATCCTCTACTAAATCCCCTATTAAGCGGGGATCAACCTTTCCGCCGTGCACCTTGATAGATGACCCAACTCGTCAAATCTTCGAGTCCATGATTCGGTTCTCCGTCTATTATTTCAACGGCGAAATGAAACGCTAGCGGCGGTTTGCAAAAGCAAAACGAAGTAATGTTTGCCTGTGATACTTTCGGAGAGGCATTTTGCAACGGGCAGCCAGGGACCGAAAGCGCCCTGTCATCAGTGCTTAGCTTCACGTGCTGTTATGACAACACAAGCCGCTTCTTCCAAGCTAGCAAGCGGCGCCGAGCTCTCCCCCCCAAAAAAGATTATTCAACGGAAATAAAAGTGTTACTTACGTGCCCGTTGTCAAGAAGAAAAACGCACCACAACAGAACACAGTTTGTGTGTGAAGAATACTGTACACACGAAAAACGCCAGCGAACCGGGACGATGCGCTACTTCCCCGTTCAAGTGACAAGGCGGAATTGGGCGATGTTATTGGTTTGCGAGGAACTCACCAGCGCTCGCTCGAGTTCCCATTGCTGCGGGGTGACGTCGCGGTCCAGCTAGTGGGCGGGGCGACAATGTGCAGCACAAGCACGCCACCTGCGCGTACACGCGAGCTCTTGCCACGCGCATGAGACGTGGAAGTTTATGGTAATGATGATTAGAAAATGAATGGGTGTTTTCGAGAAAAACAGGAATTTAACCATCATATAATTCGATTCGAGCAAAATCATCAACTGTACTACTTTTATGAGCTATTTTTGGTTTTATTATATATTCTGCTGGGTTTGGAGCAACCCTGCCACAGTTACGTGGGCACCTGAAAAATATTGCTGAATAAATCCTTTACAATTCTTTTAAGTTACACTTTATTTTAATACAGAGATGGACAATCCTGGAAAAATCCTTCCAAGAGTGCATTGAGACATGGCAGAGAAGCTCCGGAAAGGTGTGATAGACTCCAGGGAGATTAATTTAAAGGCGAAAAACATGTAGTTTAGATCTCAACCATCTCACCAGTTCTTGCCCACAACTCGTATGCTAGTAAAGGTTTTCCTTGGATTTCATTCAGGTGGACAATTGGAATAGCTGAAAAGAAGGTAGCAGTCATTTCTAACCTTAAAAATGTTGTACCATTGTTCAGTAAATGATTTTGAACATTTGTGGGAAATTGGAGGCAGAAAAGAAGAAATTCTTCCCAAGTGAAAAAAAGCAGCCTACTTCCGTACCAAACATGGCAGCAAATTGATCCCTTCACGTCTAGCAAGGACTGATCCCGTGTAAACCCTCCAAACAGTGTTCCACTGTTCTACTGAAGACAACCCCGGGCTGGAGAAGTCTGAACATGAAAGCCAGCCATTTTTCCAATTCCTTCAGTTTCTTCCAAATGGCTGGTGCACTCTGTTGCCATCTACAAATGTGTTAGATACAGTGGTTTTACCAATGTTTCCTTTTGAATGGCAGTGTCAATTGTTTTTTGTTACATGTGACATTTAGAAAAAAAAATACAGTACAACAAAAAGGCCAAATTGAGCCACAAGTATGTGACAAAAATGAACCATGACTTAAAAAAAAATCTCTGTCTGCAATCTTTCATGCCTCCAGGAGGAGCCTAAAACCAAAGCAGAATTATAAATCTTCAAATGGGTTAAAGTTCTTCCTTTTGGAAACAGCACAAGTCTGACAAGAATGAGGAAATGAATTTCACAGTGTTTCCTTATACACTTAGTTAACGTAAGGATGGTTGACTGTTGTTATAGCTTCTGTTCTTCCTTAGCTGCTTGCCTTATGCAGTATATTTCAAATCCCACTCAACACTAATTGCAATATGTTCCAAGATACTCGTTATCAAAAATAATTGCACTTGTAAAGTAAATTCAGTGAGACAATGAATGGTATAAAAACTTCAGCACACTAAAAGCGGGATGGGCGGTTTACTCACTTTTGTGTATTCACGTGTATGCGTCCAAAAGCTGCCTGACCGGTTCAATCATGTCAACTAGAACTGCTATTATACCGTGACTTCAGATCAAAACTGATCCTATTAGGAACACAAATCCATCCATTCATTTTCTAATCCAAATATCCTCACAAGGGTCGCGAACGTGCTGGAGCCTATCCCAGCCGTCTTCGGACAGAAGGCGAGGGACACCCTGAACCAGTTGCCAGCCAATCGCAGGGCACACAGAGATGAAAAACCATCCACGCTCACAATCACACCTAGGGACAATTTAGAGTCTTCCATTTACGTGCCATGCATGTTTTTGGAATGTGGGAGGAAACCAGAGTACATGTTATTTGCCAACGTTGTCCTTTTTCAGTCCAAAATTCCACCATTGCAGTCTATCGCATGATCAGACGAAGAAGACACTTGCAGGCTAGCCAGCAACATTTCACCCTGGTGAAGGAGGTGACCAAGTGCTGTAGCTAACATTGATTCCCGTAAAGCCCTTTCATACAATACTCACAAAACATCACGGCTATTTTACTTGTGGGTGAAATTTAAGGATGAACCGTAAATGCACTCTAATGGGAGTGGGAAACACCGGTCCTCTTGCACTCAGTGGCCACTTCCCTCTGAGCACATCCTCTTTGAAATGTTGCAATTGACGAGGCTACTGTTGCTAAATGGTTAGGGTCTCTTGATCTGATGGTGTCAAACTGTGAACAGAATGATGTCTGAAGGCCTGTTTGAATACCAAATCTAACTGAACCAGGAAATTGTGCAAAAGGCACCGGAACACTGAAAAGTCGCACGTGTGAATTCAAAAGTTTAGAGGAGGGCAAATTTAGTTTACCTGTGAAGTCACTTTTGACTCAAGGCTACTGCCCCCCACCCCTCTTGCCGGAAAACATAACTTCTTCCGATCATCTTTTAAATCCCTTAAGGCGTGTGAATAAACACGCCCAAAGTAGGCCCATCATAAAATGCTGCGATGACAAAACATTTTAAGAATGCCCTTCTATTTTCCATCACTATTAATACATTTATGCAGCACATATCGGCACATAGGTGAAAACATACAAATGAGCCATTGATCTCCATTTGAATTTTCTTTCTTCAAGGGGGAATTTTATTTTTCTCTTTGTCAGTCCTCAACTCTTGCCATTCGACGCAAAACGCCCCACCCAGCTCCACCAACTCAGGGAAAATACAAATAAAACAAAACAAGCACAGAAGGTTCTTTGTCAGGCCTGAGCAAAAATACTGTTTCAGTTGTGTGGGGACAACCTTCTCCTCCTGCTCCACCAAAACATCCCAGCATTGAACAATTAACATAAGTCCATGGACAGCCAATAGAAATAAATACATACAATGCACATTTTTATCAACGCTTGGCAAGCCTATGAACTTAAGACGAATCATTCTTTATTGGTCACAGTTCCCTCGTTACTTGCTGTTGTCCATTACATTGCTTTCTTCTGGCACCTCTGCCACACCTGACAACACAAAGCCACAAAGCAGGGACCAAAAGCGCAAGGTCGCATGAGCTGGCTTTGGTACAAACTGTTTGTCGGCCGTCGAGTGCGGCAAAAGAGTCGAGTCAGGGCTTTTGCTTGTGGCAGAAAAAAAAAAATGGTGGGTGATGATGAGCTGTTGCACAGAGAATATTCTCAACAAGCCCTTATTCTTTTCTCGCCATCGGCAGTCCAGAAAGGGCCAGCAGGCACAGTTCCTGTATAGCGTTATTCTCATAAATGTCATCAATGAACTTAAGGCAATCAAACTCAGCCGTCAGCGAAAATGCTGCTGAAAGACTGGGAAAATAATACATGAACTGAAGAAATTTATCCTGACCAAATATGTGCTGCCTTTTAACCCACCCCCCACCCCCACACTCACCACACAGTGGTATAATGCCAGGAAATATCTGTATGTTCTGTTCTCTGTTGAGTTGTGTGGAAAGGAGACATCACTTTAAAGCCCGACTGAGATTTACAATACTGCAGGAGTGTCATTTAAAAAAATAATAATAATAATTGAAAAGAAGAAGAAGCACAGTGAATCTTTCAAAAACCTGTTTGCTGCTATGCTTATGTGAGCCAACGCAACGCAGCCATGTTATTACTTGCTGTACATGATCGCACCGACGGCCAGTGGAAATACTGTATAGTATATCACGTTTGAATGACTAAATTCATTGGCTGCAGTTGTTACCCGTGAGCTTCAGCTTCACCACAGACGTTGAACAAGAAAGCGTGCTGGTCTTTGATCCTTTTTCACTGGAATGGAATCATCATAATAAGCATTAGAATTCATCATCATCGTCATCGTCATCAAAACATTAAGAATATACAAACGATGAATACGGAAGTGGCAAAAATGACCCTACATTAAAACAAACAAAACTGAACTGAAGGTACCACAATAAGACATGCTTCAAAGCGTTATGTTTGGCAAGAAAGCAGTTTTGCTGTAGAATAGAAACCTCACAGTGAAAATAGTTTTGCCCCTCCAGGATTACAAAGCACAGTATTCAGTCAAAACAATATAGATATCTTTCCTTCGTCTTGTTCTTAAATCAGGCTGCGCTGACATCCAAAGTTTGCTCCCCGATTCCTTCGGAACGGCTTTGCTGACAATTTCTATTTGCACCAAAAGTACCGGTACACCTCCAAAAGGCGAAGGAGGGATTGACATACTGTTACGGCTTTAGCAAGCTGGATAGTGGTGGCTCCAACTCTAAAAAAACAACCAATAATGTTGTCAAACAAGCGCTTGAAACCCAGTGGAAGCTACTTGTACTCCGCAGAGAGCACAAATGAAAAATAGACATTTCAAATGCAGCCTTCTTTAAAACATCCTTTGTCGTCTTTAGCCATCTAGAGGTTGAGGGCACGATAATAATTTAGAGCGGATGCGCCTTGCTGCCGGAATGACAGACAAAAATAAATAATTTTTTGTTTGTTTGTTTTTAAAACATAGTTTACGAAAACAATGAAGCAGTCTTTACTGCCAGCAGCTAGGCAAGAAGACACAAGGTTCAGGCCTAACAAACGTTGCTGACTTTTGCCAGAACAGATCCCGTAACATCTCTTGCCTTGCTTTTAGTAAATACTTTCGTCTTTGGTCAATAGAGTCCTCCTCATTTTGTACATATATTCGTCCACAAATAGGCATGTACATACACACTTATTGTCGTGTAGTAAACTGGATATTTGTGCACGCGCTTTATGCCGTCACACTTCTTCATAAAGGACCTTTTGCACAATACGCTTGTAATAAATAATTCATCCGGAACTCAGACACAAGTACCTCTTCTTAATTCATGTAAAAAGCAAAATGAAGACGTAAAAGAAAGTAGCCTTATGTACAGCACAAAATCTTCTTTTGACACAGGCTAAAAGGCGTTGATTGAAATAAACAGACTTTGCATCTTTCAAGAAGCCTGACAGAGGCTTGACATGAGAAAAACGGCAGTCTTTCGAGTTGTAGATGTGCCACGAAGGCCGTCAAATCAGACATTTGTCTTTCTTCAAGTACATGTTTCCATTGAAAGTCTGACACTTCCCCCCTCCTGACTTGGGATTCAAGTGATGGCGTTTCCAGTTGTTTGTAGCCATTTGCTCACTCTGTGAGTCCTCACTCAGCGGTGCTGTGTCCCTGCAGTAGCCACCTGCTGTTGCCGCGGCTGCTAACTTTTGGGTGGGGCATCATTGAGGAAGTAGGTTGTCATTTCCCCTTTACCTTTGACCTTAACCACCCCACGACACTCCAGCACATAGCCTTTGCTCGCCAGCACTTGATAGAGGTCCGTTGTCACCTGAGAACGGCGCAAGATAAAGAAGAGCGACAGGAAGCTGAAACTCTGGCAGTGATTGCACGAGATGAATTGCAAGGATGTGCTGAAGTCGAAAAGAACATCCATCAGTTGGCAATAGCACTTAAGGCTCGAAATAAGCGGTTTCGCATCGCAATTTCCAAGTTGAAGTTCGCATATCTTGTGTCTCAATCAAACAAACGCTGAACGCAGAGCTGCCAAATGTGACAGATATCGCTGAGTGCAAACTCGTGTTTGTGCCGAATATTCCCCGCAATAATCAGCAGAGTGGCCGTCAGATTTCCCTTCTCTCTCTCTTTCGTGTGAGACGGCGCAGAGCGCAGCAGCCCCAAAAAGTTCTTCATTACTGATCGAGGAAGAGAGTCTTTGCGCCGAACTGAAGCATAGCACCGGGACATACGTGTTCGGTGTCGAGGGTCAATGTGTTATGCAAGTCAAATCCTTCTCTTCTTCCGTTCGACTCGAGAGGCATTCATGACCGCCTCTGAAAAACGTAAATTAATGATTCCTTCAATGAAACAACAAAAATTGATAACAATGCATCAAAACAGAAAATCAAGCGAGGAAATCACAAAATATATTCGATAGCCCCCTTACATAATTTATTTTGTGATTTCCTCGTTTGTGAATACAGTCCACAAAGGAATAAATAACAAACATTTCTGAGACAGCCCGGTCTCCTAGATTTTACTGACATCTGATCTGTTGGAGCTACGCTCAAGGAAATGCCAAAATAAATTCTGGAGGGGTGCTATAGAATTTTGTTTTGTCATTTCCTCGCTTGATTTTCTGTTTTGATGCATTATTTTCAATTTTCGTAGTTTCATTGAAGTAATCGTTAATTTACGTTTTTCTGAGGCGGTCATGAACGCCTCTCCAGTCGAACAGAAGGAGCGTAGCTCTATCTAGTGGATGCACTGTAGATCGTGCCTTATAATCCAGTGCGTCCAATATATGAAAAAAATTACAAAATAGCCCATTCACTGAAGGTGCGCCTCATAATCCAGTGTGCCTTTTAGTGCAGAAAATACGGTAGTTATTAGTAGCTCCTCAAAACCTTGCTCCCCAAATGAAGACAGTGATTAGCAAAAATATAGATTTTGAGCCATGGCGATTGTTCTCGTTAGGGTCACAGGTGAGCTGGGAAACTATCCTTATAGCGAGAAGCTGAGAAGCATTAGCACGCAACCCACCTGTATGCAGTCCGGTACACCTGTGCTGTCCATGCGGCTGGCAACATTGACGGTGTTTCCCCAGATATCGTATTGAGGCTTCCGCGCACCAATGACACCTGCTACCACTGGTCCGATGTTCAGACCTGGACATTGAAGGAAAAGAAGTACCACACAAGCCATTTATTGCTGTGCCGCAGGGGCCGAAATTAAGACCGTCTCATGTTTTTACCTATCTTCATCTGGAAGTTGTTGAATGAATGCTCATTGATGTATTTCATCTGCTCCCTCAGTCTCATGGCGTAGTCAGCCAGTGCGGTAATGTGTGTTCGGCCCTCTTTGTCATAGGTGGAGTCGTTGAGGCCGGAAGCGGCCATGTAGGTGGAGCCAATGGTCTTGATCTTCTCCAGCTGCCTGTATTTCTCCTCACTGATAATCTGCCAATAAATGACCCACAAAAGAGGTGAAACCTGTCGTGCCGACACACCGAGCCTTGCAGACATTGGTACCTCATCAAAGTCAGCGATAATCTCATTGAGCAGACGTAGACACTCCACCCCCTCGTTGTTGGCCTCCAGTTCTACGTAGAACTCGGAGAAATTGCTTATGGAGGCAAACATGACTGCCACGCACTCACAGGACTGGTAGTAGAGCTCGTCGTTACGCCGCTCACGTGCCAAGAAGTGTGCAGCCACGTCTTTAGGCAGAATATTGTGGAGGAGGCGACGGTTGTAGGCTTGGAGTTCCTCCATCTCCTCCTTTTCTTCAGTGGCCTGAGAGGGAAAAGAGGAAGTGTGATATTGCTTATTTTTTGTTTGGTTGGTTCTTTTTCAATCACTAAACCATACTAAACAAACAAGAATAATTACTTAAATAACAGTCATGGTTTTTGTGATTCATTTTAACGCAAAATAAAATGGAATCAGATTATTCAATTAATCGATATAATAATCAATAGAATAACCAATTCTAAAATATTTGACAGTGACAGCCCTACTTCAGAATAAAATGGGTGATTTTTTTTTTTTTTTTTTGTGGGTCCACAGAAAATAGACATTCGCGTAACATTTCTTGTTGCTCATTTCAGTTGGGGAGATTATGGGAAGCCCTTAAGTGGCCTAATTTATTTGGACTAAGCAACATAGAGAACCACAAAGCGACAGAAAAATTAAAAAAGCTTTTTGATGAGGGCAAGGTTTGGAGGTGATGAAATACAGTAGACTGTGCAGCCACATGGGAAAGGCATGCTCAGTTGCCATCATACTTTGATTGTTTCATATTTAAAGCCAAAGTCAAAGGGTTTTTTTCATTTTAACTATTGTGTTAGCAGTAGCACATTCAGGTCGCAACAGGAGGGACAGCATTCCACTAGGAGCCCTTGCGCATTTAAAAAAAAAAAAAAAAAAAAAGAGACTTTTCCATCAGCTGAAAGTTTTATTATGCCGTCCTCTGGTGGGCATACGAGGTACCTGTAATTTCCACAGGAAGTCGAGGCGTGCTGTGGATTCGACCTGCTGTGCATGCAGGTAGAGTGCCAGCACAAAGACTGTGAGGATCACTGGCGTCATGACCCTCAGGGACACTTTGGTCACAACAAATGGGCTGCAAAGAGGCAGACACATTACCAGGCGGCAGACAATTGATAGAAATTCAAAATGGAGTTGAGGTATCTCACCACTGGTTTGAAGTTTCATTGAAACTGGGCCTAACACAAAAACGCAAGAAAGTTAGGTCTTGTGATGTGGAAAAACAAGTTCAATTTCATCAGTAGTAGATTGTTAAGACTTACCACTGAGTACTTGTTTCATTTAGATCGCTAGAATGACAACAGAGAAACGATGTTCGAAATCATAAAACTAGAAATGAGCAACATCCAAAAACTTCTTGGTTGACATACGTCAGGGATTGGCGGCTTATTTATGGGAAAAAAAGGGGGAAAAGAAAAGAAAAAAAAAAGTTTTTTTTTCCCCAAACCGATCAAATAAAAAAAATGCTGATAAACATTCAATATACATTTTCTGTAGACAATGCACTAACATCAGGGTTCAAAAAAAATCCTAGAAAAAACCAAGCAAAATCCAAAATATGTAAAGATAGAAACTTCTTAAATCTGCAAATATGTCAATCCACAGGTGACAAACTGTGACTATGTAAGGGTCGACTGTCGTTAAAGTTGTCATATCACCAACCACCCCCAGATGGCAGATATGTAGTTGGGCTTATATTGGGTTTAATACTGCCAACACTAGAATTATGATTCTTTTTTTGCTTATTTGTAATGATATGCAGGACAAACATAGTAACTCAAAAATATTAACATTTTCAGTGAGTTGATTTTTGCGAAAAAATATACAAAATGACTTCTTGCATTTAATGTTCTTTTCCTGTTGAGCAGTTTAAGCTGTCCTTTAACGGTAATTTTCATGCAAGAGAGCCCTTTGCACTGGGGGAAAAAATACGGCATGTGGTTACTTTGTTGTCTGCTTCAACCCCTTTGTTGTTGGTTTAGGGTAGTGGATCTATTATACATGTAGTGAAAAATGTATTACCAAAAATTGTATTTCTGAAGAGCATGTAAGTCCATGATCGTGTGTGGCCCCCCCCAGCAGCACTGATGAAAAATTGTGGCCCCCTCCAGCATTTTTAAGTTGCCCATCACTGATGTTCGCTTCGGTTTCTGTTGAGTTTTAATATGATGAATTTTGCTTTGAAGCACGAAAATGAAATTTGAGCAACCGTTGGAACAACATGCACACAAAGAAACTCCATCCTGGTCTTCCCCGGAAGATGCCCTCGCATTGCACTTACATGGCATTGGAGGTGACAAAGAGGTCTGCATTGTCGAACAGTGCTACTTGCGGCCATTCGACCAGTAGCAGGAAGGTGAGCTGGATGAGCAGCATCAGAGCCAACTTCCCAATGCTGCTGATCTGCAGGAACACTGAGCAGGCCAGCAGCGTCAGCAGCACGCTGTAGCTGAAGTACTGTCGCAAACAGGAGAGCATTATCAACTACGGCGCTCACAAATGCAAATGTGACATTTCCTCACTCACTGGCATCGAGAACAAACACGGTTAATAGGCGGCACGCGATGGACTTGCAATGGAGTCGCCGCTCACCTCGGGAAAGGGGCAGGAGGGGCCTTGACTGGGACAGATCTCGAGACCCCCTTCAACAGACACATTCAATCGGCGGATCACACAGGGCGTCACCATGGCTGTAGAGGTGTTGGAGTTCTCCGCAACACACTCCACTAAGCTCTTGGTGTCACATGCAAACTATAACCAAGCCAAAGACACAAAGTGTGGTTTCATTTTTTTTTTTTCTTTGTGGGAGGGCGATTTCAATCGTACCATGTTGACAAAGGCAGAAATAAAGACGAGGATAATGGTAAACACTCCAACTAGAGTGCTGTTGGTGCGAGACTGGACAATCTTCTTTGAAACTGTCTGCATTGCAGCAGGAAAGAGCTGTGAGACAAACAAGAAGAATCGTATCACGTCAAATCCAGCGGAGAAAGTATGCGTTTTTATGAGTTCTGCTTCAGTACCTTGATGCAAGAGTATATGGCACAGATGAAGAGGATGTTGGCCAGGATGATGAAGATACTGATGTAGATTCCCAGCATGACCGGAGTGCTGCAAGAAGCAGTAGAATTAGAGAAACGCTTGGGATTATTCCTCTGCTTTAATCTCAACTATTGTATTTCCTGATAGCGTGGCAGGGGCCGTTTATTTACTAAACAGCAGAGAGGACTAGGTCTCCCAGTTGAAATGAGGGACCCGACAGTGCTCTAGAGTAAGAACTGGTGAATCCTGATTTTTGTGCTGATGCAAGCCTCGGTGCGAACGTCTGAGAATCTGCTTCATCTCTGTGTGCTATGCTGGGCGTTCCCGCCTATTCCCTTTGACATGCGCCCAGCGCACCTGATAATTTGGTAGTTGAAATTAGGCTAAACAATACACTTCATGAAATCACGTCTAAGTATTGGTGCGGGCAGTCTAATGTGATTTTGGTAAATTTGATGGAGGTGCAGTTAGGCAGATTCCGAGCTCCGCAGATGTCTATGGTGGACGCTATCCTCTTTTTTTTTCATAAATATAACAACGGCATCACTCTCTGAATAGTTGCAGAAATAAATTGACCGAACGCATTATTTTCATCTTTATTATACATGACATGTACCATCAGGGTTGAAGGGAGTCTCCATGTGCCCACAGATCTGTGATCTCCGAGGCCAATTTTACATCATCACTTCGACATCCTGCATGGACCGTGCGCCTCTCGATTTTAAAGGTAATGAGAGGAGACACCTCCATTCACGGCAAAACAAGTTGATCGTGTTCACACCCACAACGGCACAAAACACCCGTTTTATACTGCACCAAGCTGTGTGCTTCTGCAAAAATACCAAAACAACGTCTAGCCCGCTCCTACGCAAAATTAGACACCTTGCGTCACACATACACCATTTGGCTGATTATTTTGGCCTATGTTTGATGTTTGAAGGGGATAATCGGGCAATATAATAATCATCAACAACAGCACCTAAACTGACGGAATTTCCGTTGTATTTTGGGCTATTCTATGTGTCAAGTCAACGACACACTCAGCACACACACCACGAACGCGAAGGCCACTATTTTAGGAAGTATGATCAAAGTGAAAGCGGCCACTCAGCTCACAGCTGGTTTGAAGAACTTCTGTAGGGGAGGGGTTGTCATGAATTGCCAATCAAACATTGAGCTACAAGAAGAAAGTGGCCCTCGATTGAAGAATGGCGCCCGATTTGGACACGGGTGCACGTCAGCAAACCTTGACCTATTCGATAAGTATTAAGCTGAGCGTCACCACTCAAACATTTGTATTTGGTTTCCGTAAAAATCGCGTCAATTTAATGTTAGTCACAGGAGTACTATGTGTCCTGCTGGTTATTGTGTGAAGTGGGACAAATGGGGCCATGTTCTGGCAACGGTACAGCGTGTGTGAAGAGTGACGTAAGTGAAAGCGAGAATGTTTTTTTAAGACTTTCAGTCGCACTGCAGAATGTGTACATTATGTCAGTACAACTCTCCCGTATCAAACAAAAACCTGTTGAAATAAATAGCTCATAAATATTCTTCTGAGCATCTACCGAGAAGCATGGCAGTGCAGCAAAACATTAAAACTGTACCGGCTTGAAGGTTTATTTTAAGAAGTCCCCTCTTGGCCTCAATTCCCTCTCCCCTTTCACGTCTCACTGGGTTAAGTGTACGGAAATAAACATGACTTTCCAGAGTTAACTATATGACAAACAATACACATTGGAGTATATTAAAGTAATATGTGAGCTACTCACTGTGGAAAAATAACAATCTGTATGAAGGATATGAAGCAGAATACTAGAAGAGTGCAAGCCACATAGCCACCAAAACGATCATCCACTTTCTTGGAATACTGAAAAAGTAGAAAAATGGCAGTCCGATAAGTAGAAGTTGAAAGAGCATCCGGTGATGATTAAAAAAAAAGGGTCTCAGACCTTCTTCTCCAAACTAGATGTTTGAAAGGTGAGTAGGAACTTCTTAACGTGGTCTTTTCTTAGCTGGTCGATGCTGCGAGCATCAATCGCTCGTCCCAGGAATTCATCCACCTCATCCTCCGGGTTCATGGTCTCCTGAACGCCGCGGCTGAAAAAGAACAGATCAAATGAAGCAGAAAAAGGATGCCAACAGTTTATCGCACGTTTGCCAGACTTACTTGTCTTTACTGGAGGTTTCGTCAATGCCCTGAAGAAGACAAAGATAATAACTATCAAAGTAGCAAAAAGCCCTCAGCAAAAGCCGAGACCATAAGACATATGTCGACACAAGGCAAGGAACTCACCATTTGTCTGAATACTTTGGAGTCTTTTGTCCTGGAGAAAGTTCTGTCAGGGACCCAGCGTGGCATCAGTCCCTCGTTGGAGTTGGCTCTCGTCCTCTGCATCTTAGCCATCATCGCCTTTTCTTCCTTCTGCTCAGAGAGGAAAAACATGAGGGCTTTGCCAACTGTTGTCATGCTGAGAACAGCGCAAGTGACGAACTGCAGCGGAAGAGGTCTTTTGTCCGTCACGCTAGACATAAGTGCTCATCGGTTCGAGATCACAAAGACTTTTTTTGCATTTTCTTATGAGCTTCTGAGCTATCTCAATGGCTTGTATAGTGACTGGAACTATGTCTGTGTGGTGGTTAAGAAAAGTGCCAATAAGCAACTGTAGCAGCTTAGCATACGATACAAAAAAGGCATCATACTTAAGTGAACTGTTAAGCGTTGCCCAGTTGCGACATACGCAACCAGGAAATTATTGCCACAAATCACAGCTGTTGCTGCACGGAGGATGGCAGGAGATGATTTGAGGGTGATGGGGATGTCATAACAACTGTGAAGGGCCGTGTGCTTGCGTGTGTTAATTTCCTCAAATATTGCCGGTGCGCCTTGTGTATGGATGAATGTCGGCTTTTCAGTTCGGCGATTTCAATCAAATTCCTTCCTATTTATTTTCGCATTCCCATTCGCGTTCTCATTCTCGTCGGCATCTAATCGCTGGCAAGGGGTACATGTTTTTATCATACAGGAACTCGAGCTACTTCCTGCTTCCGTATCAAAGATTAATGAGAAATGTAGTCCTCGAATGCTGCGGTCAGACCTAATGCGAGCTGAGCCCTTCTGGCGGCGCATTTCCAATGTTACAATGTGGGACAATATCATTGCGGTCAGCTTTCAATAGCTGCCGGGACCGAGTAAAAAAGGCACAGGCTTGGAAAATGGGGTGCAAGGAAGCTGGCATAACTGTATTGACTTATTAACCAAGATAGCACTTCACAGCCAAAGTAAGAACACAACCACCGGTCACTAGATTGACTGGTGATGTTCAAACTATTTTTTGTGACTGCCGGAGAAGCCCCTCCTCTTCTCCGCTCAAAGTTGGACGGCGAACAAAAGCACGTCAAACCTGGTCTGAACCTAGCATAATAGAGCTAAATCTGTCAAATGAACATATGGTGCAATTAGAATAAACTATATGACATAACAATGCTTCACAAAGATAATGCATCTCTGATTCTTGTGCACCTCATGAATGAAAATGTCCGAAAAAAATCGAACCGCTCATTGATAACGCCAAATCATCTAATACGCCTTTTAGTCTGAAAAATCTGTAACCTTTTCTGATGAACTAAATCCCAAGCTGCACCATAAAGTGTCGTTACCACGATGAACAGCACATCGACTGCCCCATCTGTTAGTAACGCATGACTTTACACATGCATCCTCATCGAGCCGCTTTTGAGCACTGACCCTCTTTTGGCTGCAGCCGAGGACGAGGAAAGTCTCGATGCTGTTCTCCTTTAGGTAAGCATTCCTCTCCCCTCCAAAGCCTGGCTCCACTTCGTAGTCTCCATTCAGATATTGCAGGGTGGCCTTGGTGATGTGAATCCGTCTAAATGGGGACAGAAGGATCAGGTATCCCGTGACAACTGCACTTGAGTCCATGTTTGCTCTTGGACAGTGTTTTTGGAAGCCGGTGCTTAATCTGCCCACCCTGCTTTGCCTCCCGCTTCCATGTGATTAGCCAGCGTAACATCGTTTGACCAGACGTCAAATTGCCACTTCCTGAGTCCTAGGACACCACAGTGCACGCGGCCGCTGTGGATGCCGACACGCATGTTGACGTTGACTCCCGTTACCTCACGCACCAGCCTGTAAACACAATGCCAAGACGGTCAATCAGTGAATGTTATTTCCCCGGTGCAAAGCAAAACAAGTGTTGCAGTTTGTCTTTCTACTCACGAGATGGCCTCGATCATGTCCACGCCCATCTCTACGCAGCAGTGGGCGTGGTCTGCACGGGGTTCAGGGAGCCCAGACACACAATAGTAACAATCACCCAAAATTTTTATACGCAGACAGTGGTTCTCCTGAGGAAGTGATAGGGCACAATAGAAGAAACCAAATTTACTCATAAGCATCTACAATATTTTCTTTCATTTTTCAAACCATCATCATCTTTTTTCAGCGTTTAATGATATAATACATATACAATCTCATGAGAGCTAAATGCCGCAACGCCAAGATTGACCCGAGTTTGCACACCTCAGATCCCTTCTTTCATGTAATCAAGACCTAAACCAATCAGCGGTTGATAGACCAGCAGCAGAATTTTTAAATGCAAAAGGCACATATAAAGTCAGCTTTTTGATAATAATCTTCTTCCCACCACTTCCTACGTTATTATCCCGAACGAGTCCTTGTTTCAACATCCAGTAAGACATTGCCGTGAGGAGTCAAATGTGTGGAGCAGTACCGAGGCCAGCTTGTCGAAGCGGGCGAAGAGTTCATTGAGTGTCATGACCAATTCCTGCGCCGTGCACTGGGAGGCCAGGCTGGTAAAACCCTCGATGTCAGCAAAGAGAATACTGAGAAGGACACAAACATTAAGGTTTATTGTTGATACTTTGATTCAGCGGGGAGCACAGCATCCATCCATTTTCTGTAGCGCTTGTCTTCATTCGGGGTTGTAGATGAGCTGGAGCCTATCCCAGCTGACTTTTTTTTTTTTTTTAACTCCAACGTCTACTTTCAAGTGACCCAAATCCATGACCATTGTGCTGAAAATAACATTTTGATTGTTTAGCTAAAACAATAAATATTTCACGAAAAAAAAAAAAAACTACAGGGGAATATGAAACAAATTATAATGTTACATTTCAGTAGTTCAATACCCAAAGTGAAAAACTACACACACGGTGGAGTTTTGTTTTTTACAACTTTTTACATCTTATGAGAACCGAAAATTCTAGTGGAATAACCAAACGTTTCGACACTATTCTGATTTTTGAGCTGCACCTGTCCACTCATCTACGGAAATGTGATGTGGCAACCTGGGCCACATGAGAGAAACAAAACAAAGTGTGTGTGTCGTTTAGCATGTCTGGTCTGCATTCTTGTGTGATTTTAAAGGTAAACTGATTTTGTTTGTAGCAGGTGCAGTGTAAAAAAAAGCATCAGAAGATGTAGTCAGACAAGCAACAGCAACAGTAGACTAAGGTGTAGGGTTGCAAATTTACGTCATAAAAAAAATTACATAATATGTATAATGCGGACAAAAGACCATAGACGGAAAAAGCCAAACAAGAAATGAATATGAACAGAAATCGCTTGAGTCTGCCACATAGATCGGATCTACTGAGGATGAAAATCAAATCACATCCAATCAATGCACATGAGAGAATTACATTTCAGAATGAAGAATAAGATTGTTTTCGATAGTGAATGTGTGCAATGTGTTGGCTGAGTGCTGTAATTGAATTTGTGCCGAGGTTCTTCATCTTTGGGAATTATCTTTCCTTGGCTGCTGGTGATTAAGTATTCCCTCACTAGTGTTAATTAGGCTGCACTCCACCAAGCCATACTAACCTCCGTCTGACTGTGTGCTGGCGTGCGTGCATACGGGCGTGTATATGTGTATATGTGAGGACTGCATTGTGACCTTGTTATCCGTCATATCAGGGCACGCGTTATCTTACGCCATCATTCATGAATGAGACTACCATTAAAAAAAAATGGAATTCTACATCAATTGAGGAAAATGAGAGGCAACAGTGTGGCATTGTGTGTCCCGACTGACCTGACATTGTCGTGTTTCTGGATATAGATCTTATGAAACATCATGTCTTCCTTCTTGGCATTGATGTCAGCCTTCATCTCCATGGCAACATGCCTTGGCAGCACTGAGAGCAACAGACGTTCCTGGGAAACATGAGCAAAAAAATTGAAACAAAATGCAGACTGCATCACTCGCTCGCTCTCGATGACCTGCAGTTTGGCTGCCTTCCATGATGAACATGGATTTCATGGGCTCAGTCGTGAAAATAGTGCCGTTTCACGGTGCGGGTAAATGCATCTGATTGGTGGATACCGGAGACAGAAGACAGAGAGGAGCAGTTTCATTTAGCACATTGGAGGCAAGAACCAGTGTCTTGAATTTGATGCGTGCAACGATGGCGTGGCAGAGAATAGTCTGGCAACAGCGAGTGACATACTGTAAGGTTGTAATGTGACCTGAATCAGAGCTGTGCAGCTTCTCTTTCAAGGAACAGTAGGCTTGAACCTTGTAAAATACACCGTTGTCGCTCTGTATTTACCAGAGGTGGGAGACTCAAGTCATATGACTTGGACTTGCTGATTTCATGACTTGCGACTTGCTTGGTCAAACCCTCTGAAAGACTTGACTTGACCTTGACTTGGACTCCATATCTTGACAAGTCATTGTGTTTTCTAATAAATACAGTGTGCCTTAATTTTTATTGTCTTGTGGGCGCTATGCACCTGATGACCGGGCCACCATTGGCAAGTGCCACGAAGGACACTCCAGAGATGGATATGGATTCAAGGATGACCTTTTTGATGAAATCAGGAATACGTCAATCGCAACATGCAAGGTTTGCAACTCAAAAGGTAAAGGACAGAACAACGTTTGCTCTCGTCGCTCAGACACAGGTAAGCTAGCTTGTGAACTGTGAAACTAGCAATGTTATCTTGACAGTTTAGCTCACCGATAGCTGGTCAAATATTCACTAAAGTTTATGCCAATTATGCATGTCATTGAGAAGACAATATAGCAATAGACTAGACACTATAGAGACTGTAATTTAGAATCAATGCCAATAACAATATTTTAAAAAAGTTAGAATTTAAGCACACGACTGTATGCATTGACTCCACTTTGTGTTGGTTTTCTCCTTGCGTTCGCCATATTGGATGTGGCAAGGGCCTCGTAGACTTAGGCATGTCAACTTGACTGAACTTCATAAACCTAGAAAGTGTACGTTTATGAAACTAAAAAATAAATAAATAAATAAAGAACTCACCCAAATAGATACACTTACATATTTGGAAAGAGACTACAAACTATGTATGTAGTTTTTAAATCTGATGCTCACACGTTTGACATTTACAGCATATTTCAATAATTACCATCACAGTAACAGTGATAGATACATTACTGTCGGGTCTGTAAACGCTCAAGCAAATGTAAAAACGTAACGGAAACATTTAAAAATAATATGGACAGTTTATATTCATCCATGCAGCAATTTTCCGATCAGCTTTATCCTCACAAGGGTCGCGGGGGGTGCTGGAGCCTATCCCAGCCGTCTTCGGGCAGTAGGCGAGGGACACCCCGAACCGGTTGCCAGCCAATCGCAGGGCACACAGAGACGAACAACCATCCACGCTCACACACACACACCTAGGGACAATTTAAAGTGTTCAGTCAGCCTGCCTTGCATGTTTTTGGAATGTGGGAGGAAACCGGAGCACCCGGAGAAAACCCACGCAGGCCCAGGGGGAACATGCAAACTCCACACAGGTAGGCCAGAGCTGGAATTGAACCCGGTACCTCTGCACTGTGAGGTCGACGCCCTAACCACTGGACCACCGGGCCGCCACAGTCTATTTTGTAGTTGACAATTCGAACAGAATGTTCAAGAATAACACACTCATCGTGCAGGGATGAATTGGTATGAGTATATGATGGTAGCTTTGAGTTCTCGTTGCGTTTTGGTAGTTGAATAAATGCTAATTTTCAAGATCAATGAATACCGGTAATCACTTTTAGTCACTGGGATTTCAGTATTAAAAAAATAAATTGTGATTATTATTTTTTTCCATGATTGCCCAGCCTTACAACAGATGTGCTGGGGCTACGTGTTATTGCATTCTACATACAACAAGCTATAAACTGAACTCATGTGCATTGCTAAGTCGTGTGTAGTGTAATATTATTGACTTGAGCTGTTATATTTTTTGAGGCTAGAAAGAAATGGTCGATATGAAATTGCAGAGAAGGCTCAAAGCCTTTAAGGTCTATATGACTAAGGATCTTTGAATACGTTGGGATTCCCTCTTCACTGAACAAGCAAGACATGTTGAACCAGAATCAACTGCTGAACAAAGAAAAGATCTTGAAGTCTAGCCAGTGTTGTAGTACTTTGTACCTGTTGCTGATTCTCCCTCTGCAGATGTAGTCTGGCCTGGATGTATCCTCTGGTCTCCTGGAAGGCTTGCCTCTGAGAAACCTCAGCAGGGTAGTGGGTGCAGATTCCAATGATGTTGGTGCACAGGAAAATAAGGACATTTGCACTCACCTGTAGAGAAGGTGGGGGGAGGTCATGTTTGATCATGTAAAATTAACTGGTTACACTTTTACGATGCTCTGAGTTTTTTACCCCGTGTTTACTCCCGTTGTAAATTGTAATCCATTTCCGTTTCCATGATCTGTTTAATACAGTACTTTGTATTTTATTCAATAATTATTATTTGCTTAGTTTTTGAGTCTACTGTCTGCTACCAGGTCGGTATTTCAGATCTGTTCTCACGTGCCTTAACTGGACAAATAAAGGTTAAATAAACAAATTCCCCTATGAGTGGTACAACGGATGGGAAAAAAAAGTCCTCCTTTTGAACTTTCAGTCATTTCTGCAAAGTCTTTCCAAGAATAGCTGTAAAACCCATGAGAATTTGTAGGCCACGAACATGAAACAATGTAAACAAAGATGGATTCAACTTGTTTGTGCTGAATTAGTTCATTACATGAAAAATAGATGAGCCGGTCAAAAACATACTGTGAAAATATGGTGCCTTCGACTAATGAATGATGGCGATAGAACAAGAATGAGCTACATTGGATATTTGTCACGTGTGATATCATGTGGCCTGGTGTTCATGTTTCCATTGCATGGTGGAACTTGCTGTTGACCCAGCACTTCCTTTAAAAATCGTCATGTTTGCAGAGCGAACGTGACACTCCTCATGCGACAGGCTACTTTTGGACACTGACAAAAACGGGGGTGGACTGTAAGGAAGCAAGCTGGAGAACCTACATCCTGTATCAATCATTAATCAGAGGTGCTTCCACACTGGACTGGATCATATCAACTGAAAGCGAAAGTGGAAACAGACCCGGGTAACTGCTATCTTGCTCCAAAACATGGGAACTGAACTTGTCTTTTGTGTGAAAATAAAAACCAAAAAGTTCGATGAGAGGGTTTCACACTGACATCTCCTGGGTTGAGAGGGAAATACACAAAGCGCAAATGTGCAACACAAAAGCACAAGAAGAACAAAACACGTAGACGATGAAAACAGATCTTACTTAATACTTTGAGAATAATCTACAGCAATTTACTAAATTTTATTTTGTCAGGTGGTTGCACGAAATATCATCTGGATCCAGATACATTTTTTTAAGTCGATGTATGTATAGTCTACTTTAATAAATAGATCCGCATCCAGATGATCTTACTTTGTGCAACCACTCGACACAATAGAATTTCGTAAATTCAGCACATTTTTTTCTGTGTATATTTATTATTGGAAGCCACAGTTTAAACCTTTTTTAAACCTGCACTTAATTATCTTTATTTACTTTTGTTTCATCTGTCTGATTTTAGACATAAGAAAAAAGAACTGGCGGTAAATATATCAATGAAAATACCATATATTGTCCATGTAAGTTAAATAAAAAATGCACTTCAATAAATGTTTAAAAACTGTTCAAAATTCAAATGTGTATGAATCGTGCTGCACTTCAAAGTTAAACACAACTCAACTGTACAATAAAAAAAAAATTACTGTAGAGTCTGTACGCATTGCTACAACCCGCATTGGAATATGTTTGATTGTATTTCATGTTTTCGACACTGGTGAGGATAAGCCATGCAGAAAATGATGAAGAATAATATGTCCAATCCTCATTGCCAAAATACTCAGAGAAGAATAATAAAAATAACAAATGGTAAAAATTTGGACAAAGTATGTGTGGTCATAACTGTACAGAAATGTAAAATATTTGTGAAACAAACATTGTAGCAGAACAGAATGGCACCTTAATAACTACCGAAGAAAAGGCATCACAAGAGAAACAGTGTGGAAAAAATGTGACACAAGACAACGGGTGAGTGGAGAAGGACAATGGGTAAAAAAAAAAAAAAGAACCTAAATGATGCGGCTGAAAACAGACATCAAGTGGCAATAAGCAGGACGAGGAAGGAAAAAGAAGTGTGTGAGTGAGTGATATCTACAGCGGACAGATTTAGGCCGCAGTGACATGAGGCAGATGGCCCCGGGCGCTCACTTCTGTTTACATTTCACTCACTATTCAAGCAAAAACCAGCCAGGAGACCCAAAAGTCTTGCATGGTGTTTGTCTGCAGGTACAGGTAAGATGGTCGAAAAGTGCACAAGGAAAGACTAAAAAAAAGACAAAACCTTTTTCCTTAGGCTAAGCGCTATTTGATGCGATGAGATTCACGCCACATGCTTATCATACCCCATGTGGCTGAGCACACAAGCTGCTGCTAATTGCTTGCTTTTCTCAAGAGGGTAAGGGCTTGTAGCTTTGCAGAGTACACAGGAAGCGCCTGTGTTTACGCAACAGCACTCCACCTCTCCAGGTGCTTAGCAGAGTTTACCTGCTACTTGTCTCTGCTGCCGCTGCAGGACCTGTGCACCTGCTCGTGTCTCCCGGACTCATTTGTCGCTACACGTCACTTTGGGCCAATGCCATTTTAATCATGCCTCCAGACTCATCATCATCTTCATGCATACAGTCAGCAAACGCCGTTTTAGCTCTCTCCAAAAGGGTTATGTTTGTTTCCCAAGGCGAAAATCAACCAGAAATCACAGGACATATGACATCCATATGACACACATATGACAAGTGGTTAAGATTGCACGACTGTCTGTGTCTTATGTGTTGTGTTGTATTATTTTGTTATTTTGACTTCAAGATGGCGCCGCGAGAATGGCTGCCTTTACAGCAGCTCCTATATTTTGTTCTTCTACTATTTCCTTTCATAACTTTGCTGCTGTGAATTGGGAATTTCTCCATTGTGAGACTAATAAAGGTTTTCTTATATTATCTTATCTTATCATTCCCTGTCACAAAAGCAGACGTTATTTCCACTGGGGCCAGCAGGGAAGCCGGATGACCAGTTAGGACAGGACTGCATCGTAATCCCTGCATATCAAAATGGCATTATGTAAGAGCTGTTCTCATCTAGACAGGACAGGCAGCATAGAAGAAATATAGATTAAACTGTATTTTGTTTCACAAAAAGCCTACATCAGCTCATGCAAGATATTCAGGATTCATCAATAAATGATCAACTCACAAAGAAGGGTGGGGAAAAAAAAAAACCCTCAAAATACTGTAATTATAGACTACTTTCTATTCGAACGGGCATCCTTTATTTGCAGTAACATGTGGGGTGCCTGGACACGTGCCTCTTTTCCTTTGATGGCCAAAGTGCCCTTTTGCTGCTCCCCGCCATTTTTTTTTTTTTTTTTTGCTTTATGCTTATTTGTTAAAATCTCTCTGTGGCTTTATATCGGTAAAATGTTGTGTGACTCAGCCCACCGAACAAAATAAAGTATTCAACTAAAACTTCTTTTGCTCTCACCAAAGTTCCAAGCATTTAAGCGAGTGTGTGGATGTGAGAGGGAGCAGGGCAGCATAAGCTGCGTAAGGGGTCAGAAGTGTCAAAAAGGCAAATCAGGCAGTTGAAAACCTAATTATAGGACCCCTTCTAATTAAACACCGTAAGATTCAAAATAAGTGGTTTCACATCGCAGTTTGCGAGGCAAAATTTGCATTTTTGCGCCCCATCAAAATGCCTTGAAGAGCAAAAGCTGAAACAACCGCCAAAAGAAAGTAAAAGAACAAGAAAACGAAGAACCGCCAAGGCGGTCCAAAAAAAATCTTCGCTGGGCTCACGTCACCTACCACGGGGAGTCGGAGGTCGAGGGAAGCTCTGTGCCGCTTATGCAGAAGCAGCAAGCTAACAAGTTCGGGAGGATACTTGACTTGGATAATGGATGCTTGGATGGATGTTGCAAACTTTCATTATTTTATTTCTGATGGAAGGCCTCAATGTCCCAAGCTCAACTTGCTCTTTCTACACTGTGCAGAGTTCCTCATGAGATGCATGTCCACAATGCGCAGCAATAGGTGCTCTTCAGCCCTGCTTCATGGTACTTCGCAAAAAAGCAAAATGAGGTTGAAGGGTGTGCACTTTGCACCTAGGAAAATACTTCCGTCTGTTGCATCTGCAAGGATAAATCAGTCACACTGTTTATCTTAAGAGACCTGTGTTACGTCTTCTATGATGTCATCTTGGAAACTGGATTCATGCAGCCGAGTCATGAGAGCAACTCTCCTGCATGAGGGAGGGAGCTGCGATATGCTGATCTGAATTATAATTCCCATTTACTCCCTGCATGCATCTCTTTCGCATTCCTGTGCAAGGTTCTGCAGAGTGTTGGTCTGAGACTCACACCCACGAAAACTGTGAATTATCATGGAGGCTGCACAGCGTTCACTTAGCAACTGTCACCCACATTCCACAGCTTTCCTCTAAAGACCTGCAGCACCCCCGCCAGGGTTCAAGGCCGGTGCAGCACAGCGACCATCCAAGGAGAAGGGAGGACTTGCAAGGCCTGATTCAAGCAGCATTCCTCAGTGTTGAGCAAACTGTATGCTCATAAACGTTCAGAGTGATTCACCACTTGGTTCCAAACAAATGTTTCCGATGATGTTAAAATAGCCAACCAGTCATCAGTGTAATAAAGAGGAACGTGGTCGCAAGAATTCTGTGTTCCCTTTTGTTTGATTGCAAATAGAGATGTCCGATACCACATTTTTCCAGATCGCTATCAGTATGAGGAATCACTCGTTAATTACTCTTAGATACTGAGTGCCAATAGACATCGTACTTTTGATATACAAAATTTCAGTTTACACACCGAGAAAAAAAAAAAAAAATGATCAAAGACATTTTTTTCTGACATTTTTTTTCTGACACAGATCATCAATGTGTCAAACTGCCGCAGTGAAGCACCAGCTACTGCCGAGGAGCACTTCAAGTCATATTTATTTTTTTGCTTTAGGTATCCGTGGTTGGTATCGCCAGCATACACGAGGCCCCGATTATCTTCAAATAATGCCGGCATCAATCCGATATGACGGACTGCTGGACCTCGGTTTACAATCTTGCTAGTAGTTTGATACGCACAAACTACCCCTTGAACAGAGGAACTACGCAGCTGCTAAAAAAACTCATCCCGAGCAATAAACTCACAATCGATCC